CTGATATTGTCATCCACTTAGAGTCAAGGTCCTGCGGAGATGAAAACATGATAAGAGAGGGATTTAGAGGAAGGCTTCCTTTTCCAGTTTAATGGTTGCTTCAAGAAAATATCATATATGACAGTGCCTTGGCATAGGACAACTCAGTTCTAGATTCACATGTCAGAGATAACCTCATTAACCTAACTTATCTTTTAGAAAAAGTTTATTGCTAACATGACGATGAAGAAATTAAGTGATAAGGAGGCTAATCCGTTGGTGCAAGTGTTTACTCTTAGCTTATACCGGGGTGTGACACCATAGTGACAGCATGGCATGAGATCATTCCCCTTTTACACGCGAGCTTGTCCTCAAGCTTATATTTTGGATGAGGCGCTTGCCATCCGACGTGCTCTTGAGGTTTGTCGATCTGAAGGTTGTTCGTCAATTGTTTTGGCATCTGATTGCCTCTTCATGGTGAACAAAATCAAGTCTATGGCTCAAGATCGATCAAGAGTGGGCGCTGTTGTCTCGGACATCAAGTCTCTTGCGTCTGGGTTTACTCAATGCTCTTTCTTACATGTCAGGCGTGGTATGAATGTAGCGGCACACAAACTAGCTCGTAGTTGTGAGCACTCTGTTAATCTTTTTTATCTTGGTGTGGTTCCAGATTGTATCAGGGACGAACTTTGCTGTGATGTTCAGTAATCAATGGAGTACTGTTAACCTCAAAAAAAAAAGCTTATATTTTGGATAACACATAGTGAAGTCATCAAGATCTTTCCATGTGGTTTCGCTGGCAGCACAACTAATCCATTACGCCAGGACTTGGTGCACGCCACAGCAGACGTGACTGATGGACCTTGGTGGTGGACCACATGACACATCCGTCCTATAACACTACCGACGTCGGTAAGGCTTGGGGTGGTTTAGCATTGAATGCTTTAAGATTGTTCACATGAAATACAACGAAGGTGAGCTTGTGTGGACGCTAGAGGTAATATGATGGGATCCTACGTGCAAGGTGATCATGTAAGGCTCGTACTAGCAAGCAAGCTTGCAAGGGCAGAATCAATGATGAAGGGACAATAGATGCTATGAAGACGAAGGCATACCCAGTCTGCACTTGGGACTCAAAATATTGTTGCTTGGCTTATTCTATGTTCTATTTACAGTCAGCACGAAATGTTGGGAAACATAGCATGCAATTTCAAAAAAATCCTACGCTCACGCAAGATCTATCTAGGAGATGCATAGCAACGAGGGGGGAGAGTGTGTCCACGTACCCTTCTAGACCGAAAGCGGAAGCGTTTGACAACACGGTTGATGTAGTCGAACTTCTTCTAGCTTCGACTGATCAAGCACCGCACGTACGACACCTCCGAGTTCTGCACTCGTTCAGCTCGGTGACATCCCTCGCCTTCTTGATCCAGCAAGGTGTTGAGGTAGTAGATGAGTTCCGTCAGCACGACGGTGTGGTGACGGTGATGATGAAGTGATTCTCGCGGGGCTTCACCTAAGCACCGCAAAACTATGACCGTGGATGTAAACTGTGGAAGGGGGGGCGCACACGGCTAACAACTGTTGTTCTATGTTCTAGGCGCCCCTCCCCACACATATATAGGTGGGAGTGGGAGGGGAGCAGCAAGGGTGCGCCCTAAGTAGGAGGAATCCTACTTGGGGTCCTCCCCAATTCGGCCTCCCCCCTTCCATATTTGCCGGAGGGGGAAAAGGGAAGAGGAAGGAGAGAAGGAAGGGGGGCACCCCTTGTGGGCTGGTGTGCTCCCCTCCTATGGCCCATATAGCCCATATCTTTCCCCCGGGGGTTTCGGTAACACCCCCCCCCCGGTACTCCGATAAATACCTGATACTATTCGAAACACTTCTGGTGTCTGAATACTATCGTCCTATATATCAATCTTTACCTCTCGACCATTTCGATACTCCTCGTCATGTCCGCGATCTCATCTGGAACTCCGAACAACATTCGGTCACCAAATCACATAACTCATATAATACTAATTAAATCGTCATCGAGCGTTAAGCGTGCGGACCCTACGGGTTCGAGAACTATGTAGACATGACCGAGACTCCTCTCCGGTTAATAACCAATAGTGGAACCTAGATGCTCATATTGGCTCCTACATATTCTATGAAGATCTTTATCGGTCGAACCATTATGACAACATATGTTATTCCCTTTGTCATCGGTATGTTACTTGCCTGAGATTCAATCGTCGGTATCCACATATCTAGTTCAATCTCGTTACCGGCAAGTCTCTTTACTCGTTCCGTAATACATCATCTTGTAACTAACTCATTAGTCACTATGCTTGCAAGGCTTCTTATGATGTGCATTACCAAGAGGGCCCAGAGATACCTCTCCGATACTCGAAGTGACAAATCCTAATCTCGATCTATGCCAACCCAACAAACACCTTCGGAGATACCTGTAAAGCATATTCATAATCACTTAGTTACGTTGTGATGTTTGATAGCACACAAGGTATTCCTCCGGTATCCGGGAGTTGCATAATCGCATAGTCGAAGAAATATGTATTTGACATGAAGAAAGCAATAGCAATAAAACTGAACGATCAATATGCTAAGCTAACGGATGGGTCATGTCCATCACATCATTCTCCTAATGACGTGATCCCGTTATCAACTGACAACTCATGTCCATGGTTAGGAAACCTTAACCATCTTTGATCAATGAGCTAGTCAAGTAGAGGCTCATTAGGGACACAGTTTTTGTCTATGTATTCACACATGTATTTGGGTTTCCGATCAATACAATTCTAGCATGAATAATAAACATTTATCATGAATAAGGAAATATAAAATAAAAACTTTATTATTTCCTCTAGGTCATATTTCCTTCACGAAATACTCCCGGTGATTTAAGTGCATACACATGAGAGGAAAATTAAACTATGCCATTCACCCCCTGCCTATAGTTGTATTTCTATTGGCAATAGATTTTTGTTAACACTGATGGAGCTTAACCGGATGTGTTGGTTTAGTGAATAAATTATGTTGCAACATGAACCTGCATTTTGTTTGGATTACATGAGTTTCATAGGAATTTGTGCAAACAACTATAACTCAGCCAAAATCGTACAAGAATCGAGTTATTCTGTTATAAGGCTACTCCCAATGCTCCACTGTGGCAATGTTTCTTAGGTCACCGCATCATTTTTTTCTATGTGGTCTGTAATTAATCAGGGGAGGGGACGAAATGGTATCTTATTTAGATACGACCTACAACACAATTCTATGCATATATCAATAATTCTCATATTATCATCCAATTGGAGTCAAGATCCTGCGAAGATAGAGACATGATAGAGATGGGATTTAGAGCAAGCCTCCTTTTTCTATAGTTTACTAATTGCTTCACAAAAATATCATATATGGTATACCTTTGCATAGGGAAACTCAATTGCACATCCAC